GCCCACCCCTTGCTGCTCATCTGAGGCGGCGGGCACCGCCGCCCCACGCGCCACAGCGGCCGGCAGCAGGGAGGAGCAGAGCCGGCTGCCAGCCGGGAGACGAGGGCAGAAGGGAACAGCCAGCCGTGCTCAGGCGGACATGGCCTCGGACATGCCTTGCAGCTACTCTGATCTTTCACAGCGAGAAACACAACAGAAGAGGAAAAAAATTGATCAGTGATGCAGTTATTGGGAATAGTGGTACAAAAAAAAAATTCTATGTGTGCAAGTGTATTCACAGCCTTCCCACATGCAGTCACTGCGCTACTTAGGTGAGAAGAGTGCCAAAGCGTATCATTCTCATCAAAAGCAAAGTGTGCAGCCTGTCTGTTGAAAGAAATGCATGTTTGTGCAAAAGAAAAAAATAAAGAGAAGGTCACGGTCTCAGAGTGGTTACCATTACGTTGTCAAAGCCATCCTGAAGGGACACAGCAGCGCTACAGACATCCTAAAGGAAAAGGACAGGCGAGAAAATAGCAAATAATACAAAGAAAATACATGATTAGGCTCGGACTGTTAATGGAGCAGTACAGCACCTTTACAGAGCTCACCTGTATGTACTCAAAGAATGCTGGTCTTTAGGAACACTAACAAGGTCCTTTCAGGTGGTTTTTATGCTAATGAACCTCAATAGTTTCATGAAATTTATGAACAGAAACTCTAAATGTGGAAAGGACTCCTTAACATCCACAGAAGCCTATTAATTCTATACATAATACTCTCTTTTTTTTTAACAAGTCATAGTTCTTAAAGACCTTGCGCAATAGCTATTCGCTTTCAAGAGCTCAGCACGTACGGCACAGCACTGAAGAGCGGAGTCCTTCTGGACTGATTTACAGAACTGTCCACACCAGTGCCAGTGATTACAAGCTGAGTAGGTAATTTCATTCTGCAGCTGCAGAAGCATAAAAACCAAAGAAGAAACCTTCCTTTTTTAAGCTCTACCTAACAACATACACCGCATAGTAGCAATGCTTACAAATCACCTTTTTCCTATAGTTTCAAATGCTACCTTCAGGCTGGTATACTGCCATAGCATTTCCTACTAAAATCCAATCCTAAATCCAAGACTGCAAGAAGAACTACTGCAAGTTCCCCAGGGACACGTTTCTGAACTGGAGCACCGCGCACGCAGGCATCAGGCGTCCCACCGGGGCACCCGGGCAGCGCGCAAAGCCACGGGCGCCTCGGAGGGCTTCCTCTGGTGCCAGCACTGCCAGCACGTGCCTAGAGGAGGAGGGAAGCAAACAGGGCGGCCTGCTGAATCGTTCATTCATTGCATTATGGTGAAAGTTTTCAAGGATCAGGCTGAATGAATCTTTCCAAACATCCAGTAAGGCAAAATATTAGAACCAGACAGAAAACAATGCATCCACGTGTGGCACTCCCCAGCACCGCAAAGGACCTGGCTGGGCATGCCACTGTGTGGAAGTAGCTGGGAAACAAGGCTGGGTTTGGATAGCTCTGGTTTGACTTGGTTTACATCAGTTTAACTTATACTGACTTACTGCTGAAATAAAAACACGGCTGATACGGAACCGTTGACTGATGAACGTCCAGCACATGTCGTACGTTAGCTGAAATACGCATCTGAACCTACCCTGTTGAATTTTAGTGCAACTTCTACATTGCAAAAGTTTGATCCAAATGTTATGAAAAACTTCACCACAGACACCTTATTAATCTTATTTAGGCACGGATTCATGCCTTCATGATAAGTTTATTCTCCTTACTGACAACCTGTCTATGCAGCACTTCAGAGCAGAAGTTAACCATTGCTCTTAACACCTCAGATACCGTCCTTGTTTGAAACCAAAAGGCAAATGCAACGTCTTTTGTCCTCTAAACGTGACAGTGTTAAACAACGGCGTTACTTCAATGTAAGAATAATGTGTTATTTTAGATCTTCAATTATTACTTTTTGATCCACCTAGCCATAAGTAGTGATCACCATTTGCTTACTCAAGGCTCATATTTAAGCCTGTATTCTACCATAGTAATTGAAAGCCTGTTGGACTAACACTAAAATAGTGAGATATTGCCTAATGTGAGAAATACTATAGGGTTTCTATTAAACAGGAAGCGATGGCTCACTGTAGAGCCCAATTCCCTAGCATTTAGGGTGCCTAATCCTTAGTACCTCGTAGTGCCTACAGGACACCAATGAGGGATCAAACATCCACTGATATTATAAAATATACATCCAGAGTTTTGGGGGGCTGCTTTTTTTTTTTTTTTAAGGTAGAAGACAGCACACATACAGGGAAACCGTAGTTTCACAATTATGAACTGACCCATATAGAACTATTGTAGCCCATCAGCAATTTAAGCACTATAGAAGACTTTGCATGCATCATAGCAGAGAGGCTCAAAGAGGCATAAGAAGGATAATGAGGGAGCTATAACAAAATAGAGACAGTGTGGGAGAAATTATGAGGATACTTGCTGAAAATTTTGACTATTTTGAGCGAAGAGGGCACATCAGAGTTTGAAGGCAAGACAGCATAAAGGCAATGTTAATACACACTGCAATGAGGGTAAGAATGGTTATGGAAGGACTTAAAAATAAAGGTGAGAAGTTTGGTTTTACCACCAACTACTGTACACATATTGCTGGTTATCTGGGGATCCAAAAACCAACTTTTTGTTCTTACACCATCAATTCAAAAGCAGCCTGTCTGTAGCCATATTCTGAAAACTAGCTCAGGCTCCGAAGGGTGTTGCACAACAGCCATGTGTGGTTTGGCACACAGCAGCTGGACTCTGCAAAAAAGTTAGGAGAAGAAATACCAGCTATTTCCAGAGAACACGGGCATCTGTGTGCACTCATGTATGGAAATGGCTCCTGCTGGACTTCCTGGATTTTTAATTGTGAAGAGCATTGCTGTGCCTCTGCTGCTTATTTGTAGTTTGATGGTACACAGCACCATGCAATTCCAGTAGGAAAGCCTCTGTGATACAACAGGGAACAAGAATATCATCAAGTAGCAGATGCAAAACCTGATATTATGATACACAGGAAAAATAGAAGGGGCTAAGAGACCGAAGGGCAAATGAAGTTTAAAAGCAGATGGCCCTGGTTAAGCAATATTTGGGGAATTATTGCAATTGTAAGTATCAGCTGGGTCTCCACTCCGTAAGCCTACGCAGGGCAAGCAGCCCCAATGGAAGGCAAAACCACTGTGTTGCTCTTCAGATCTGGGGGTTTGGACAAACCTGTTGGAGAGACCGTGACTGTGCTTGCTGCCTGAGGAGCCGCTGTTGCTGCTGCTCTTGCTGCAGGAGTTTCATCTGGAGCAACTGCTGCTGTGGCGTGATTGCATGGATCGAGGGGGGCTGCATCACGGTGCCAGAGCGCCGCTGCAGCATGTTCGACAGGGCTTGCTTCGTATTAGTCGGAACAAAGGAGCCTGTCGGATCCAGCCTGGAACCACCTAAAAACCACCCAAAACACAAGTGCGTTCTCTGCCTTCCACAGGAGCGTTGCTGGTACAGATCACTCCTAATTCATCAGCTCCTATTTGGTTAGCTCTGCAACAACAATGCTAAAGTTATCTCTGTAAAGGCAGACAGTGAACTGGATTAAACGAGATTACTGGCCTGAAAAATTAAATGGGCAAAATAACTTTGAACACTACCACTTGTAAATGAGAACAAAAAGTAAAAAGGCTACGGCTGTTGCGTGTTCTGTATCACATAAAAGGCTTGACTACTACTGATGAACAAAAGTTGCATGTCAGATCAAAAGCATGATATGAACAGCTTATTATGTCAAGCCAATTTTATAATGAGATGGCAGTAATTTATGCACTCTATGCTCTTTGAAAAAATCATGTATCTATATGTCAGACTTACGAAGGTAATCTTATACATTTGTTTTTAAAATCGGCATTTCTTTAAACTTTTTAGCCACTGTCTGGTATATTCTGAAGACTTTTACACACTTAAAATTCAGGTCTAGATGTATTTGGAGCTTCAGAAAAACATATTTAGCATGTATAACTGGAACCAAACTTCTAAACTTCTCCTGCATAATATCCAAGGAGGACACAATCGTACTTCTCAAAACATCATAAACTGCTGCCCCCTAGAGCGAGTAAAATAGCTGTGTTAAACTGTGTCCACATTAACTGCAAGAAACAAAACAATCCTACACAAAATTATGCACGTATCACAAATGCTGAAAAAAAGTGAGCCCATGGATTTATTTATTCCATCTAGCAGATGTTAAATTAGCCACCGTGGTTCTTGTTATGAATCACAGAAGAAATAACCCGAAGGTCATTTGTTCCTTTTAATCATCCCTCTCTTATTTAACTCCCCATTGAACTTCTACCAGCTTTCTCATACTATCACCACAAATCCTAGAGTAGGTCATTTTTGCTTATCTACCAAAAAGGTTTAATAGCTTAATAGAGACAGACCTACAACTGATAATAGAAAGCCCTTCAAAGAAAAGGCTAACTAAAGGAATAAAATAAATGGCATCGGCAGACACAACGTGCTTCGGAGAAAGCTAGAAACAAAACGCCATTATAAGAAGTCAATTTTTATCATGCATCAAATAATAAAGCCCCATGCCTGTGAATTCAAAGCTTACACATACCTGGTGGGAGGGGCTGGTTCTGCACAAAGAAGCCAGGCTGCTGCGGCTGTCCCATGATGTTGTAACCCCACAAGGCAGACTGAGGATGGTGTATCATTTGAGAGGAAATCGGTGAATAAGTGGGAGGCACTCTATATAGGTTATTCTGTGGATATTCCTTAAAACATACAGTAAAAGTGAATGTTACTGACATTCCTACCTTACTAACTCATAAATAATGCCAATTTTCCTACTAAATTATTAAAGGACAGAGACAGTTCCCATTGTCATTTGCAATGATGTAAAAAACAGATTAAGTCTCAGGCCGCCCACAGGTAATTAACAACTGCACAGACACCCCATCCATTTTTACCTTATTAGCAAGTTTTTTCTGCAGGCTATAATTAGGTATAGCACAAGGACAGTTTATTGTATCAGTATATAACTAACAGAAGGAACTTAACTGAAACATCAAAAAGGACAGAAAATGATCTTAAAATTACAGCTACTTAAAACGCAACACATTGACAAAGCAGCTGGATGCTGATGGAATAGTATCACATCTACAACATGCACGACTACACAGGCAGCAGGGTGAAGAGGATGTAAACGCCCAGAAGGCTGCTACTGTAAATGTACATTATTATTATTTGGGTGGTGCCAGCCATGTTTTTCAAATCCTTGCTCTAAGTGATTCTTCAGCTTAGGAATAATCATCTTAGGACGAACCACATCTCAAAAACATTAAAACCAAAAGGGAAGGCCTCTCAGAAACCAGAACAAACCGCACAGTAAAGGAGTTTATCTACGTCAAAGAGCTCCTTTCAAACTGGTTTCCATTTGAATGGGACCTGGGTTTGAACCAACATGTTTCCTCTTAACATCATTTGAACAGAAGGAATTTTAGAAGTCGACACAAACAATAACAGATGTACTTTACAGCGAACAAGAGAAAGCATATACAGAACTCAGAATAATATCTAGTAAGATCCAGTCTGGCATATTTTATATAGCATGTAAGGTCCTAAGCACAGTACGTTCCTCTACACTGAGCTCTATTTGACAGAAATCCACCCTCCTGATGATGATCTCCATTCACTCCCTCTATTAGGATCCACTCCTCCAGGTGCAGAACAATTTCTGAAGGTCGCCAAGACAGCACCATGCAACATCAGATGCTTTGGTGAGGTATTTCAAGTTTTGTATGGGGCACCAACTACTTACATCAGCCCTTGAGCTTGATTTTGACTTTCGCTTCCTGCCCTTTGTCTTCTTCTCGTCATCCATGGCAAGTTTTCCCTGATCCGAGAGCTCTCCTGACTTTCTTTCTGGTTCCTGAGAGACAGGTGTGGTGGGCTCTTCCTCCTCCTCCTCTGGAGGAAGGGGCAAGGGCTCGAGGTAGTAACTCCGTGGCTTGGGTTTGGTGTGCGTGTGGTACAGGAGGAGATGTTGCTGCTCCTCATATTTTATCACTTTCCTGTCGACACGAACCGTACCAAACCATGCCCAGGAGAGAGGAGCAGGATTTTTGTGACCTTCAAATAAATCCCAGGGGGACACCTTTTGTTTTGTTGAAACCTGAAGACCCTGTTTCAGAATAAAAGTTAGTATTTTAAGAAAGTTGAACACTAGAGTAGACTACCTGCTTTTGTACATCAGTATTAGAGTCAGAAAAATCCAGTAAGGATTTTTTCCGCTATACAAAATGTACCAAATGCATACCGGTGTGATTTTAACCTCTATCCACAGCTGCCATTACATAAAAGGAATTATATTTTTATAGTATCATTTGCTTATAGCTATGCTAAAAATCTCAAGTTCCATCTATCATATTTTGGAGGAAAAGTCAAATATCTATCAAAAATTGCTAATCTGAGAATACCTTTGCTAAAGTTTACATATTCAAATAAGGTGAGAAAAGCCTAAGCACTGTATCACAAAAAAGTCCTACCCAGCCTGCGGAATAAAAAGCTCTAGCCTAAGTTCTATCCTTCTCTCTTAAATAAATTAACTTTAAATATTATAAGCATCCCTTGTAACGAAACATCCCTTCGTATTCCCAAAAAATCCAAAACAACTAATACACTGCCATGCCCCCCTTTTTTTCCTCTGCCTTTTGTAAGCAGGATCACCCTCCATCTTCCTCACAGCAAGTAACAGGTCAAAAGGTTCCCAGGTCAAATAAGCTCTCAAGTGGAGGATTCTGCTTGAAAAGCAGATACTTTTGTAAGAGCTTCTGCTGTTCAACTGCAAGTTAAATGTAATTTCCTTTTTGGCAACTTTTGTGGAGTTGGCTGGTATCGGTCAAGACCCTAAATTGCAAAATTGAGCAAGCTTATGTCAACGCTCATCGCATTAGCAGTTACAAATTGACCATGTGTTCTGTGGATTTAACAAGGGCGGGCACGCAGCAAACAACGTGACTGAATTTTAAACAAATCAGAAAGTGAAAGGTTACCCAAACTCTCGAATTTGTATGAGTGGCATAAGACTGTTTCCATTAGAGATGCATGTATCTCTAAACCTCTGGGCGTATCTGCAGGTAGCAGTGAATCGTCAGGGAGAGGAGGATGGACTCACTGCCGGTGCTGCTGCAGGGGTGGTGGTGCCGGTCCAGGCCACATTAGGCTGCTCAGACCCGCTCGGCTGGGCTTTAACAACTCCCTGCGTGCCTCTCTAAGCCCCCTCGGCTGGGGGGGCGGTTATTGAAAATGCCTGAGGATTTTCACACGGATGACGCAAACAAGAACTGTGCAAGAATATTTGGAACAGAAATACATTTGCTACCGAAAACCAGCCTGCCATTCGCAACTCTTCTAAAAGGTATTTTCCTACAAGCCTGGCAGTCCTCTCTTCCGGCACCGCGGCTCACAGAAAGCCTACCTGTTCAAAGCAGGGCGCAGTGCTGCGGCTGGAGCTTTAGCGATGACGAAGTGCATTAGACGGCTGTGTTACAGCAGGACAATGCTTTTATGATACTGCATAGAAACACACGCACTGTACAAGCTGTACCTGTTTGCTTGAGTTTCCTATGCTTCAGAAATCATGGAAAAACTGAGGTGAAAGCAAACATTTACTCTTGCCTGTTTCTTATCAATGGAGTCAAATCCTGCAATTTTGTTCCCCTTGGTGTCGATCAAGGATCCCATTGGCTCACAAGTAACAATATCGCACGTCTGCTTTGGCAAAGGGAGCAGCTGGCGAACCTTGTCGATGCTTTCCGACCGCTTGTCTCCCAGCTCTTTCTAGAGAATAAATACATCAATCAGTCAAACAGAAAGGGGGGAAAAAGGAAGAGAAATATTGCACTGCTTTCACTATTAGAAAACGTCCAGTTTCTGGATGAATCATTTCCTTGTACTTTTACTGAATTTAAACAAGTGGCTTTGCAAGGGTTTTTTGTTTTCTTTTCTTTTTCTAAGAATGTAAGTTATATTTTCATCTCTTGTTTAAACGGAACATAGAAAATACGTAATACAAATTTAGAGTCTCAAGCACGCATAAAAGTATCAAACCCTGACTTCCAGGGTCCCTAATTTTAATTTAATACGATGGAAGTCTGTATTCCCACCCCCCCACTCCTGTATTTTTATTTTCTTCTTTTTCTCCTTGTTACCACTAGTGCTACTTTTCAGCCTCTCCTGTTTTTCCAAGAGGCTTTCCCAGAACTAGAAATGACAGGATTAAGAGATGAGCACAGAATGCAATTCAAAAGAAATGCTGAAAATTACAAGACATAACACTTACTTTTAATTTTTTCACTAAATTCATGTAAGCCCTTTTGTTTTCCTCAGGTCCTCCTTGGGAAGCATTTGACAAGTCCGAGGCAAGCGTCCCATTGATGAGGACGCCCAGCATATCGAGCACAGTTGTGAACAATTCGCTGGGAGTAAAGACAAGTATTACCCTGAGGAACTACCAATGGCCAAGACATCCAGGGACAGATATTCACAGCAAAGGCCACAAACACAGCTCTTCAGACACACCAAGTTTTTCAGGGCTTTCTGCATACACGCACATCTCAGCTTACATGCGTAAGCCCCGGTGTATACATGCAGCTGGACCGTCACGACGTACACATGACTCATATTACAAACTTACATAAATTTATATAATTACATAAATATATAAAAATATATTCTTTTATATTA